CTAGTGCAGACATCGTGGACCTCGTCCACGATCTCCGCACTAGGCACAGGAAAGTGGCCGTCTAGGGCAGGAGAGCTGCCAGCCTGGCCACCCAGGACCAGGTGTGCATGAAAATCAAGGGGGTCCACTGAGACCCCCGACACTGAGCCCTGAGCTTACAATGGCCGTACTGGGTCAGACCAAAGGTCCATCTAGCCCAGTAGCCTGTCTGCCGACAGCGGCCAACCCTAGGGACCCTGGAGGGGATGGACCGAAGACAGTGACCAAGCCATTTGTCTCGTGCCATCCCTCTCCAGCCTTCCACAAACTTTGGGCAGGGACACCACTCCTACCCTCTGGCTAATAGGACTCCATTGACCCAACCTCCATCACTTTATCTCACTTCCCTTTAAACTCTGTTCTAGTTGTAGCCTTCACAGCCTCCTGCAGCAAGGAGTTCCACAGGTTAACTATTTGCTTTGTCAAGAACAACAACTTTCTCTTACTAGTTTCAAGCCTGCTACCCATTCCTTTCCTTTGGTGTCCTCTAGTCCTTCTTTATGGGAACTCAGGAAGAACTTTTCTGAATGCACCCTCTCCACCTAACCCCTGCTTTTAGAGACCTCTATCCTGTCCCCTCTCCGTCTCCTCTTTTCTAAGCTGAACAGTCCCAGTCTCTGTAGCCTCTCTTCATCTGGGGCCTGTTCCCAACCCCTGATCATGTTAGTTGCCCTCCCCTCTCCCAGCCTTTCTCTTCCCTTCTCCCACCTCCTTTTCCCAGTCTCCCCCAGTTTTGTTCAATAAAGACAGAGTCAATGTTGGGAGAAATGTTATCTTTATTTTGTACATCAATAAGAAGGGGGGCTAGGGAAGGGTAAGTGGAAGGAGGTGAGGGAGGAATGGGGTACGAGCCCCCGATGGGGAGGACTGGGCTGGCTCTGCGGGCTTCTGGGGGTGGAAGCTCTCCTGCAGCCCCCCGATTGCCCCCTCTCCCCAGATCGCAGCCTGCGGCAAGTGCAGCCGGGCTGATGGCCGAGTGCTGTGATGTGCCCAGTGTGGGTACTCCGGGCAATCCAAGCCAGGACTGGTTTGCAAGCGGGGCACCCCTTAGAACTGTCTGTCCGGGGTGGGGGTCGGGACCCTTTAAGCGCAGCCCTCGGCTAGCCTGAGACAGCATCTCCCTGCTCTAAGTCCTCCTCTGATGCCCTGCCGGCACTGCTTCCGGCCATCCTTAAGCCCTGTTCAGGGTCCACTCAATGTGGACTTGCTAGTTCGAATTAGCAAAACGCTAATTCGAACTAGTTTTTAGTTCTAGACGCGTTAGTTCGAATTAGCTTAGTTCGAATTAAGTAATTCAAAGTTAGTTCGAATTAACGTTGTAGTGTAGACGTACCCTGAGAACTTCCATTTTCTTCACTAGGAGCAGGGTTGTATCCTGAAAGAACAAGGGATAAGCAATACTCTTTCAACTCTAGCACAGTATTTGGGATGTGTGGTGCTTTCCTTAATGCCCCAGCTTCTGGAGTCATGTGAGGTTGTAAGAATCTCAGGTTCCCTATAAAACCAAGAAAAGTCCATTTCTAACCCTGATAGCAGTGGAGATAATATGACCTGAGTGGTATCCTAAAGGGTCAGGCACCAGAGAGTAAATAAATCCAGACCAAGTGTGTTTTAGTCTCATCAGCTTTAAAAGTCATGATATTTAGGTCTAATGTATTGAATTCATGAAGTTGACAGAAGCCCCGCGTTCCTCCTGGGAAAGTTGTCTGGAATTTAATTGGGACTAAAGTTACTAAAGCAATAGGACTCTGAAATTTATTCTAAAAATCTATAGAGCTGAATAAAAATAGCCTTCCTACATATTTCTTTGAACGATTCTAAGTGTTCCATAAGGGACTGCCCAGAATTGGATTTTTTTTTTTTACAGTCAGTACAAAACTTTGGGTTCAATTTTCAAGCATAAGTTTTATCCTGTCTGAGGCCCCAATTGAAGAAAATATCCCCTTTCAGATTGGTACATACTTAAGTATAAACCTTAAGCATGTGCTTAAGAGCTTTCCTCAGGGGGAATGCTTTCAAGCACATGTGTTCCTGAATCATCTGTGCCAAACTACTGTACAAACGTCTGCCCTGGCTGTAAGTTTTAATCAGGCTGTGTTTACAGGGATATGCAGCTGTGGTACCAGCTCAGAACTGAAGAACTGGAAAGCATGCAAGCTGCTTATTTTGGTTTTAAAGGCAGAAATAACAACAACAATAAACACATCAGGAATAAAACAGGATTTGACAATGGGACTCACCTGGCATATGACAATGAAGGCTTCTGCAGGTGAGATGTTTAAAAGACAGTGTGCTGGGGGGAGCGGGCGGCCAGGGAATGTGTTTGCCTGAATAGATTTGAGGAGGAGGATCAGTGAAAAGTTGCCTCGGGAAAAAATAAAATAAGTGTATTGTCCGGTTCTGGGCAACGCCGACCTGCAGCCAAACATGACAAGCTGATGGTCTGTGGTCATGGGGTTTGCAGTTTGTATTCCAAGCTTAGTGTGCTCCATCCTGCAAGGTGCTGGGCAGTCCTCCAAGGCACCATTCATGCTGGCAGGGCGCTGCAGGCCCACCCCTGGCATTACAATCAGTTAGTCCTGAGGGTGCTTGGCATCTTGCAGAGTCAGGCCCTAAAGGTTTCATGGTGCTGGCTGTTTTTCGGTGGGAATTCATGATATTCCAAAACCAGGATTTTGAGACAGCTTGAAAACCAGCCTGACTTTACCCCCAGCTCCCCCATAGCCGTTCTCTGTCCTGTCCTCAAAGCCTGGTCTACATGCAACATTGCACCAGGTTAATTAAAGGTGTGCATATAAACCCGTTTAGTGAAAGTGGCACTGAGCCCTGTGTGAATGCACTTATAGGTTTAAACCTGGCTTGATCCTGCATCAGGACCTTTACAGGAAGTCGATATAACCAGCTAGATATTGGTCTGAGTCTGTCCATACAGGGCTTGGCACTAGTTCGGTGACATGGGTTTAAAAACACACCTTTAGTTTAACCAGGGTAAATTGTGTGACTTATGGTTTCCTGGACTTAGGACTAGAGGAGATGCAGCCCATCATTGTACATGGTGTGCTCCCTTCCCAACCTGTCAGCTTTCCCAGCCGAGGAGTGTGGAAGACAGTGCTTCTCTGGGCAGCATTAAATGGTACCAGGCAGGACAATGGAGGTATCAAAGCTACGTGTTGTTTAGTGGCTGTTCTGAGGGCCACACTGTGCAGGACTACAAGCCAACAGAGCCTTTTGGGGAGTAAGGTACCACTCAGCGAGTGTCAGCAGTGTCACAGTCTGTCCCAAAATAATGGTGTACACTCTTTGGGGTAGGGAAGATCTTTTTGTTTTACACGTGCTTAGCAAAGCAGGGAGCCATGATCCTCTGTGGGCTAGTGATGTACAAATGCTAGCAACAATTGTGTGGGAAATCCTGTCCATATTGAGGTCAATGGATGTTTTGCTGATGCTTTCAGTGGGGCAAAGATTTCACCCAATACATCAAAGGGACCATACAGAGGGGGTGTAAGTTACAGCAGCTTACACTCATCTCTGAATTGGTGCAGATGAGTTACACCAATTTTGAATGATCAGACCAGAGATATGTGAAGGTAAATGATAATACTGTGGGTCAGTCTAATCTCAATTTCTCTTGTGCCACCCACATAATTCTCTGTCTTGTTTCACTGAACTATTCTTTTGCTATCGCTTAGCACTAATATGTATTGATGTATATTGCAGTTCCTGTTTATTATTAATTCGCTGCTTACTTAGATTTTGCTCACAGTAATATCTATGATTTATACTAGTTACCTGTAAAAAGCAATTTTATACCAGCTTATAAAACATTTTCTGTTCCACAGTGCAGCTAGAAATTATATTTAACTGATGCATGTAAACAAAAGTCTGGTGGCTGTTTTAGATTTGGAGGGATTCAGAAAGACTTCTAAAGCTAATTATAATGCTGACTGTACTTTAAACAAGATCTTCAAAAGGATTAAGGACTAATTTGTAATTCTGAACAGCTATGCATGCCCGAGTATTAACACTGGGTTAGAGCACAATCAGCTTTTAAAATATTTTAAAATAAAATATATAAACCAGCAGTTACTAAATATAACTATTATTGCTCCGGGAGCTTCCAGCACTTTAGAAATTCTTACCCACGCCATTGTGTGGTGAAGAAACTCTTTCATTTTGTTTACCAAATACGGCATCTCCTTCCTTAACTGAATGGAACAAGAAATATATATGTCAGCTATGTCTAGACTGGCATGATTTTCCGCAAATGCTTTTAACGGAAAAGTTTTTCCGTTAAACGCATTTGCGGAAAAGAGCGTCTAGATTGGTACAGACGCTTTTCCACAAAAGCACTTTTTGCGGAAAAGCATCCATTCCAATCTAGACGCGGTTTTGCACAAGAAAGCTCCGATCGCCATTTTCGCCATCGGGGCTTTTTTGTGCAAAACAGTTTTTAGCTGTCTACACTGGCCCTTTTGCGTAAAAGCATTTCCGGAAAAGGGCTTTTGCCCAAACGGGAACATCAAAGCATTTGTTCAAGAAGAACTGATTTCGGACAGTAGAACGTCAGTGCTTTTGCGCAAAATCAAGCGGCCAGTGTAGACAACTGGTAAGTTTTTGCTCAAAAGCAGCTGCTTTTGTGGAAAAACTTGCCAGTCTAGACACAGCTGTCAACTGGACAAGCAAGATTCAGATAAATAGCTTTTATAAGGTCTGAAAACGAGTTTGTTAGTTCATTCTAAATTCTCCACTCTCTTCAGTAAACAAAGAGCTGGGAGAGCTTATGAACTTTTCAGCCTTTCTGTGTAGTTAACATGCTGAAGTCTAGTTGATTTTTTGTTGTATCTGAATTATGAGTGCACACATTGGCTGCAGTGTCTCTGCTTCCGTGAAATACAGTAGAAACTTGATTGTCTGATTCCTGATTAACCAGCACGCTGCCATCCAAAGGTAGGGAATGCACCATAGGGCTCTACTTAATTTAGGGCCCGTGGCATCCCAAATTTAGTGAAGCTCTATGCAGCTGTATTCTGTCTGCCTAAGGATGGTCCTGACTTCAGCAGTGATATCAAAATCTCTGCATATGAGTTAAAAGCCCGGTTATTGCAAATGGCCATTCATGTTAAGAAAAGCTGTTTCTTCTACTAAGAACTGGAAAGGATTTCACTGAATTTGGACAATTCTTAACATTGCCTAAAAAGCCATCCTGTTACTGCAAGGAAGAGCAAGGCCTTTTAACAATGCAAACCAAACAATCTTTGGTATAAGTACGGTCAGTTGTGCATGTGCATTTATAGTCTCCATTCCATAAAACATTATTAAAGCTATATATTGCTACAGTTTAATGTTAATAAGTGGCTCTGTTCGTATTGGATGAAATGTGGGAATTGTCTAATGTATTATGTGGCAAATGAACCTTGAAGATGACAGATGATATGCCAGCTTTATGTGTCACTTTGAAGGTTTATTTGTTGTATAATGAATTAGAGTCACATCTTATTCTTCATCCTATACACAGCTTGCTGTGAGCAGCCAGACAGTATTGAAGGATGGCTAGGTAAGCTGTCTGATGTATTTATACAGTGGGTGAACATAAATGACCCCAAATGAGCTGATAGCTTTTCCCATTTTTTTCATTTCTATATATAATGCAGATACACACTCAGGCAACTTTCATTTTGGCTACATCGGAACTAAAGGCTTCTTTTGGAAAAAGCATTTTTTGGAAGAGATCTTCAGAAAAAACTTCTTCCGAAAGAGAGCGCCCACATTACAAAAGTGCATCGAAAAAGCAATCTGCTTTTTCGAAAGAGAGCATCCAGAATGAATGGATGCCCTCTTACATGTAAGCTGTGATTGCTATAGATGGAATGGCCACCAGGGAGCTTGTGTTTTTTCCTCTTTCCTCTTTGTCACGGGGTGTCTGGTCCGCGCACCCCGCTTTCGCAGGCCCCTCTGGGCAATGCGGGGTACCACTCAGTTCTGGGCCTCCTGGGCGGAGTGGGGGGTCTGGGCCCACCCTCTCTCCGAACCCCGACCCAGGACCCTAACACCAAGAGTGTGACTCTCAGTGGTAGCAGGGGGGTGTAGACCCCAAACACGCCTGCTCTCGGGGTTCACGGCCCGCCCTGGGTCTGGTCCACTCCGCCGCCGGCTACCGCCCGACGTAATTACCCTCCGCTTCTGCCGTCCCTTCGCCCTCTGTGCTCCCCCTCCACTCACTTTCCTCGCGGCTCCCTCTGGGTTCGCACCGCCTTCCCTCCTCCACATTCCACCCCCCTTCCCTTGGTGCCCCCGTGCCCTTTATACCGCCTCCGCTGCGGTGGTTCTCCTCACCCCCGCACTTCTGGGTTCCTGCCCCGACGCCCAGCGTCGCGCCCGTGACATCATCAGTGCGCCCGGGCGCTTGGTGATGACACGCCCTCTCCTCGTCGCTGGGCATTCCCGGGGCCGCTCAGCCCGTCTTGTCAGCTCCCCCTTCCCCGGCCACATCCTGCGGCGTCGGCGAGTGACGGGGTTGCTCCACCCCGTCACACATCTCTCCCCTTTCCCCAGTTCTTACACTCCCCGTTTGCTCGTTACCCGGCATCCGTGAGAGGCAGTCTGCGTTCAGGTTGTCTTTACCTGGTTTATGTTTTACTTCAAAACAAAATGGCTGCATGCTTAGATACCATCGGAGGATTCGCGCATTAGTGTCCTTCATAGTCTGCATCCACTTCAAGGGCGTGTGGTTGGTCACCAACGTGAAGGGGTTACCTATAAGAAAATAGCGCAGAGAGTCTACTGCCCACTTAATGGCTAACGCTTCCTTCTCTATTACAATTTCCTACTCTCATGGAAACAATTTCCTACTCAAGTACGCCACTGGGTATTCCACTCCCCCTTCCTCCTGTGCGAGTACCGCCCCGAGCCCCACGTCAGAGACGTCTGTCGGTACCAGGAATGGTTTTTCGAAATCAGGCGGTCGTAATACCAGCCCCGACATCAGGCATTGGCGAAGTGTTTCGAATGCCTGTACCCCTTGGGGTGTCCATAATACCTGCTGGGGTTGGTCTTTCTTTGTGAGATCCATTAAAGGGGCAGCTAGTGAGGCAAAATGGTTTATGAACCGCCGATAGTAGCCGGCGAGGCCTAGAAATTGGCGGACTTGCCTCTTGGTGTGGGGGCGAGGGTAGTCCCTAATAGCCCGTACCTTATCTAACAGCGGTTTTAGCTGTCCATTCCCCACCGTATACCCTAAATAAGATACTTCCCTTTACCCGAATTGGCATT